TTGCATCGAGAAGCCTATTGATGACGAGGGTCGATTTACGAATGAGGCGAATCCCGTGGATGAAAGTTTCGAAAAGGAGCTGATGGATTTCTTTGACTTTGAGCTGCCGGCGGACGAGCCCTCCCTGTGGGACAATCTACCTGACGATGGCCGATTTTTCTGGAAGGAAGACTACTCGACGAGTGATGTCCCCAACATGCCGATTATTGCCGCTAACTGATATGGGACTTAGTTTGATTGATGTTTCTGATTTATGGGGTACTCTTTTTTCCGGTCGGAGGTTTTTCCCACACGGGTTTTACTTCGATCGGGTTTTAACGAGGCCCCGCTTTGCGCCACCTGGCCGGCGAGTTGTGGCCAGACCCTACTTGTAAAAAATTGCAAGAGGGAATGAAAAATGTATGTATTCCATCTGTTCATCATGACAAGAGCAAAGTGATCTGAATTTATTCTTAATGTATTCACTTTGTCACTTACAACTTTTTTCTAGAGTTGTTAATTTGTTATTATCTTTTGATGTGTGTCATTTTCTGTTCTTGAGGCATATGTGAAATTACTAATATACCCATCACACAAGATCCCCAAAAATGACAGACTCAATTATCCATCACCCCTTATATAGCAATCAAACACTCATCTTAAAACTACAGACTATTGTAGTAGATAATGTGTACTCTATCTGCTGCTGTTGTGGGATTTTCATGTCTCTCAACAAAACCAACACAGCCCACAAATGACAGCAAAAAACCCATATGGACATCATCAAAAACATCCTCTCAAATTCCCAACAAGAAACCTGCAATAACCCTCAAATCATCCCCTAAAAACCCAAATTTCAGAACAAGAAGCCTTTTTTTCTCCCAAGTTCCAATTTTTCTTCAGACCCTTCATCTCTCATCCTCAGCTGCAGCTTTATCCTGTGACCCTTTTGATAAAACCATCAAGATCTCAAAAAATCCATGGCTTATGCACAGGCTCGCGCTTGCTGAGTTGGACCCTGCAACAGCCAAGCTGGCAATTGGGCTTTTGGGGCCCTTTTTGTCTGCATTTGGGTTTTTGTTCATTGTGAGGATAGTGATGTCTTGGTACCCAAAACTGCCCGTTGAGAAGTTCCCATATGCGATAGCTTATGCGCCGACAGAGCCTCTGCTTGTTCGGACAAGGAAGCTGATACCGCCGTTGGCCGGAGTTATACTGTTGTAGTGAAGAT